TAAATACTACTACTTATAATAGTAATGAGGAGGAGGAAAAGGAGGAATTTGGCTATAATTTTGAAAATGAGAAGATATCCATAAGAAGATTTTCCGATTTTCAAAAGTTAGTTACTACAAGTACTTTTTATAGCATCTTATCATAGATGTCATGAATAAAGATAAGACATTTTTTAAATAAGCATTATAAAGCCACACACAGTGAGAAGAATCATCTTGCAACTTTGGAAATGTCCTCAACTGATACTAGTTTTTATTTCTGTGTGTGCAGAAAGACGTGATAATTTAAGTTCACCATTTATTGTGTAACGGACAATGCATCGGTTCTGGCTGCCGAGGAAATCGTAGTTTGATGTTAGTAAACTGTTGTTGTATTCTATTGAGTTGGGTCAAACAAGTGCAAAACCAATACAAACCAACAATACATGCTTGATTATTTCACTACATGCAGATTTCTCTGATTTCACACAGATTGTCCCTCTAGTGGAATTTTATTGGAATCATATTTCTTTCTTCAAGGCCTAGCTTGTAAGTTGGATATACAAAGTGTCAGGTAAACTTAAATTCAAAGACCGCCCAAGGTTAAAACGACAAATCCTAGCATTTTTCAAAACAAAAGATTGAATGCCTGATTACATACAATATTGATAGTGTATTTGACATAAAAAATGTTTTCTCCTAGGGAATGATTTCATTTTTACCAACTACTAATAAAATGTTGAATATTTTTTAGTCTTTAGAAGGTACACCAAGTTGCAATGATTGTTCTGCATTTCCTCCATGCTGAGATAGACATTCAAATCATTTTGATTTTGTGTAGCAGTGGGAAACCCTAGCGTGATAAAATAACAAAATGCTGGTTACATTATAACTGAGCCTCCATGGGAAATTGAATCCTGTACATGTGAGCATTTTCATTGTAGCTACCATCATTAGCACTGGGGTAAATGGGAAAAGAATGCAGTTGAACGGGTCAGGAAGGTTTGAAGTCGACACCGCAGTAATTACTGTCCAAATGTACTGCTTAACCACTTCCGCTGTTGTCTGAAATCATCTTTCATCTCCATGCTCTACCTGCAGTGAGCGCAGCAGTCTACGTGGTGAGGCCGAGGCAAAGTTTCAATGATGCAATGGGGTGGTCCTTTCTTCCATGCTCAAACTACCTGAGAACCACTGTCATTCCTTTTTTTTTTTTTTTGAAAAGACAATAATCATTCTGTATTCTTTGGATATTTGAATTGATTTCATTGGTCTAATTAATAATTGACCAAATGAAGTAAAAGGGAATACATGAGAAATTCTCTGATGATATCTGAGATAATGTGAGCTATCTGTTGACACTCCCTGGTTTACTAGTGCAAGGTAGACAAAATCAATTGCTCCAGGATAAGATTTGACTAGATTAATACCTCATATGATCTTCCTATCCAACCTGGATTTACTTTACTTCACTTTGATACTACAAAGTAATTGGCCTTACTTAACCTGCGTGTTTGTTTTGAGAAAATACAGGAACTTCTTGATGAGTACCAGAGGAGAGTGTAGATTGAATAACTTAACTAAAACTACAGACAGTCAGTACATTCTCTGTGGTAAGGACTATCATGTTAGAGATAATGCTGGTCATGCTGGGCTAGGGTCAACTTAACTGTTGTGTTAGCATACAAATTATTAATAGTAAAAAGGACAGTAGGCTCTTTGATCTTTTAAGGTACATCCAGTGCATTAGATTTGCAGCATTACTGCCTTTATTTTCAGAAAACTTTTTATATTTTATTACAATATCAAATGTATACAACAGAGGATATTAACATATTCAGGTTATGTTATATTGTCTACAATTATGACTCAATATTGGTACCTATCACTGGGAATGAAGTGTGCATAGATAGATAAGCCTGTTTGCCTTTTGTTTATGATTTTGTGGGGCATTATGGGAAGTCACACTTGCCAACTCATGCTGATTAATATAATATAATATAATATAATATAATATAATATAATATAATATAATATAATATAATATAATATAATATAATATAATATACTCATCTGGAAATATATATATTTTTTCATTTTTGAAATATATATTTTTTGGTTGTAAAAATGAAACACAGTCCAATGTGGATAAAACATTGGAACAATTAATTGCACAATCCTATATTTTTATATTGGAAAATAATTGTACATAACTTTCATGATTAATGTTTGAAGTAAAGTGAGTTGTAACAGGTTGTGTTGAGATTATAATAACCATCAATATTAACAGCAGCACTGCAGGGACATGTTTCCTGTTTCTCAATCATCTCGAGGTTATTGACATTAACAACAGCATGCCTGTGGCCCCATGTCTTCACACCTCCATTGAACAATTCGCTCTAGTTTACCTGTTATTTCAATTTCCTCAGATGAAAACCTCTACCTCAGTGACCACACTCTGTTCATCAATACACTTTGTATTCCGCTATTAAGGCAACACATTAAGAGTATTTCCATAAGGCAGAGAGAAGATGTTTCCAAACACTGTGTTTACTCTCTCCATCTAACTTGCTTTTACTTCACAACATTGTAGCCTTGCTGGTAAATATTTGACTAGACTGTAGGATTTACTTTGAAAATAACTGGAGGGCGCTGAATTTGGGCAAACCATGCTGAGAAATATTTTATTAAGTCACAGAGTGCTTCCTTTAGTTAAAAGTCTATATACTGTTGAACCTTTGGTGTCATACATGCAGTTTAAATTTCGTTCTTCTGATGCAAAGGTTTTTATTTGGAATGCCATCAATTCATGTCAACCATCATTTTTAGCACTCACAGTATTTTCATTGCCTTGTTTGTTCAAGGAATTTGTTTTATGAGAGTAAAAGGGTCGACCACTCGTATCTTTCAGGGCAAGTTTCACTTTCCTTTATTTCTTTTGTGATGCGTAAGTCTCTCTCTCTCTCGCTCTCTCTCTCTCTCTCAAACACACACACACACACACACACACACACACACACAGTTTTGATCACATCCCACTGGTGGCATTTCTCTACAGTAAAATAAAAGTAAGCCTTTCAAGTTAAACTAAAACGATGTGGTCAACTTTGAGACTTTTTGTACCAATTCCAATTTGATTACCATCTATTGGAGACTGAGAGCAGATTATCACAAGTATTATACAGCCAGCTTTGTCTAATGGAACCTATTGTAAATGAAATGGCCAGCCACGTATGCATTTAGTCAAGAGAAATCCGATCGTCTCCAAAGGTATTTTGAAAGGCAATGTTTTTGTCTCGATTTCCTTTCACAGCGGTTAATTAAGACTTAATTAGTCAAGCCTAAAGGAAGGAGGAGAAAGGACTAAATACAACATTGAACAGTAACAAACAAGGACGTGGACATGTAATATGGAAACGCACTGCCGAAATTGTTTGGGGGAAATGACCGCGAAACAAACAAAAAGTGATTACCACAACGACAGCAATTGTCACGTGGATTAGGCGGCCTAATGGAGTGCACAATCCACGGATTGTTGCCGGGTGTAAATCTAGTTATTGTTGCCCTCCATGAGGCCGACTGGGAAAGGTTCCTCACCACACTCCGAACGGTGGGTCTAATTACTACATTTACCTGAGCTACTATACACATAAAACTGTTTGTTTGCATTTCAACCCCGCAAAGCCGACGAAGTCCCCCTGAGAAAGACACCAATAAGAATACCGTTATTTACACCTCGTCCTTGGGATTGCTCTTCGCATAATGCTCTGATTGAGAGTTACGTGATAACGTCTTCAGAAACCGATTATGTGTGGAGCTTAGGTGAGAAGTTCCACAGAGGGAAACCGACACGCCCCCTTTTCTCTCCAATCTCACAAATTTTTATAGTATTTTGATTTTGTTTGTTTTGCGGCAACTTTTGTTAAGAATCGTGAAATGTAACTAACTGCAGTAGTCCGTATGTGCTATAAACCCGATTTCCCAGCATCTTTCAGAGTTTAGTCTCTCGTATACTTGGATGAAATGTTGCAAGATTGAAATTTATAGTTTATTTTAACGCCGCATACAGCTTTTTTATAGACAAAAGTGCCGTCAGAGAACGTTATAAATGGGACATTGCCCCACTGCAATGATAAGTAGGTTCTGGTGCCGTGTATTTCAAGCGCAGTCTGAATTCCATTCACCGAACAGTTGCGTTTTACAATGTTTTTATATGAACCTTTTTTTTTCAGAAAAAATATTGGGGTGGAATCATTTCCTCTTGCTTTGTCTTTGTTATTTAGCATAGGTTTGGTGTAAATAGGTTTTGCTTTAAATATGTGCGTTAAACCCCGTGTGAGATGGAAGTATTGTCCTAACGAACGCCTGTGAGAACTAAGTAGATATTTGGCATATTTAATGCATTTATTTAGACTCGAAATATTAGTTTCAATCTAGAATCATAATTTTTGAAAAGAAAAAGAATAAAAAACACGAAAAACGATCTCAGATAGAAATACCAATTTCAGGAATCTAGACATCCGTTGGCACGTTGCTGAAAGATTCCCGGTGGTAAAGTCGAGAATGACATTTTCATTGAGGAAATGCTATCAGTTTTAGATGACACCATCGCCAAAGTCTACGATATGCAGAGGTTATGTTTACTCATTTTATATTGCTGGCATGTTAGAAAAGAGATACCTTCACGACATTGGCAAAATAAAAACGATGCCAAGTTCATTCATGTCATCGATGCCCTTTATAGCCTTTTTGCAGCGACGTCACACGGGACAGAAAGTGCCACAGTCCTTCGCAAAGGTATTATTACACTGTGTAATTTTTATTATTTTAACCTTCAGTTTCTCCGTGTCTAATTCAAAATGTGATAAGTGATAGCAATTATGAAAAGGTTGATACTCGAAGTTATTACAGGTCTCTTTTAACTTGTTGGTAGTTGCCTGATCGTGGATTGGTGAAGTTTTAAAGACTATTTACTCATTCATTTATTAAGCTTTATCACCTGAAGTGATATTGCTGTCAAATTATGACGTCATGTGTACAGGGTCTATAGGGTGTATGATTACGTGCCATATAGGCTTGCCACCCACGAGTTTTATGTGGAACGGTGGTCCAAAGCTAATGCAATCTATTCTAATTCAAGAACAATAATGTCTTGACGTCATTTTAAAGTCGCCGACATAATGAACTACGTGCCCCCCTTATCCCCCTTCTCCATTGAAAAAGAAAAAGAAACAGTAACACAGTGAAAAAAAAGTGCGCACACAAATATATCAAGGTCGGTGTCACGCCTCAGCGTGGTGATTCTTGTTCTTGTGTCAAATATGATCAGTTCAGTGTCTGTGTTGATACTCATTTCGGATGGTTGAGTTGGGTCCACATCCTTGATCGTGATGTGTTTAACTTGTCACTGAGATATATATCCATTGTTCTTCGGCAAAAAAAAAAAAAAAAAGAACATTGGTGTTGATTGTGAAAAATATGAGACAATGACAAACGCTAAGGATGAATTGGTAAAATTTTGATTATCGTTTTAATATCAAGGGTTATTTCTTACACCAAGCGCCTTTTTTATTTTACATTACTAATTAGTCAACAATTTACACAACTTTTTGCGAGTCCGTGGATTCTTAGTGTGCCCCCCCTCCCCCCTCCAGTCCCCACCTGTTCTCACCCCTTGCCTTGTCCATACTTGGCGGAAGTGTTGACTTTTGGTATGTATCTTTCCTGGCGAAAAATTTGAATTTTCCATCACTTAATGTTTTTTAAAGATCTGTTTATATGGGTTATATTTGGACATCCTGTTCTCCGTGCGTGTCCCTACGGAACGTGCTGTAACATTAGACTCTCGCCGGCAGTGGGGATCTAGAACAGAAAACGAAAAGAGAGAACAACCTGGCCTTATAAGGTCCTTGCAAGCTGATGCCATATACATGTATGTGCAGTTTTTCTAAATAAAAACAAAATAAGACTAGTTAAATAGAATAGTTCTACTTGTCATGATAGACCTGTCAACCGACCCATCGTTATTTTCTAATAGTTTAGATTAATTGATGTTAAGAAATGGCATGATTTGAGTTTGCATTGGCCTCTTCAAGTTTACCTATTTAATAAACTTCAAATATTCTTGATAGTCTTGAAATAATGCTATGGAACATGAATATATTTAGAATACTTGCAATTTCCCACCGACGGATTGAGGTAAAGATCGGATCTTTTTTGTCATCGGGGATATCTGTCAATATAACTAAATCTGCCTTGAAAATTGACTGTTGCCCTGAATCGCAGAATTAACAGAGTCGCTGCATTGAACCCATCTTATTATTTATTTCATTTACTGCCAGTCATTAACAATTTTTAAAAAATAAGCCGCTAGTGAACAAATAATTCATTATATACTCGAAGTCACACATTTCATCTCAATGAGCAGCTTTGCGTTCAGCGCGTGCGAACGCCGTCCACCTCCCAAAGAGAAGTTCGGCAATTGTTCATAAAATTCTCAAATCATTCCGCAGACTTCCTGTTCTTTGGCTTATCTGATAAATTCTTGTGAATAAGATTTACAACATTTCATTTATTCGTGACATTTTGACCTATACTATCCAGTGCGTTTGAAAGTACTCGAGAAAAACGTCAGTTGCAATCTTTAAAAAATATAGGCTACTTTTCGTCCCCGTAGTGAGGACATAACTTTATGAAATGTGGCATTTACTTCACCTAAGGTGTTTGATAGAATTTAATTGATAATTTTCCCATGTAAGAATTTATTTGCCGTTTTATTCAATTGTTGTCATTATCCAAAGAACTTGCAAAAATGATGTAACTAACCTACCGCTATTAACGTTTTCTTAGTTTCTGGGCACACAATTTGCGCATAAAATGAAAAGACCAAATTTTTATAAAAACAGGGAGAAGAATATTTTAAAGACCAGACATCTAAAGGTGCGATGAATATAGCAACAAGATAAGGTAACAATCGTTAGTACTAAGTGACTTGGAGTGAAAACGTTCTAATCCTAGCACGTCAACTATTTTAAGATAAGTTCCGTCAAGCGTTTTACATGATCCTTAAAGAATGCATTTTAGGTTGATTAATTCACAAGTCGGATGCGTGGAATTCGGCAAGTTGCGTGTTCTCTCTCCTCTCTTTCGATTGGTCTTTTATCAGTTTTATTGGTTCGTTTAATCGGGAGCGCGTTTACCGAAATCCCAAAACTAATTTCATGACCTTATCGTGTTGTTCTGTAGCAACCCAGCTTACCGTTTGGAAGATTGTTGTTGCTTGCTTTACAATCCAGAACTGATTTATTCGGTGGTTGTTGTGAATGGGTGTGCGAAATTGTTTGAGTTTGAGCTGAATTGATTGAGATGAAAAAGGTGGTCTACGTCTAGGTTGCGAGGTGAGTGAACTGAAGTCAGTTCATGTCAACAATCAGGTGCGGCGACAGAACAGCTCTCAAACTGCTCTCAAAATCAACGAAAATTAGATAATGTTCATTCATTAAAACAAAAAAGTTCCTGCGTAAATAATGATCAAAAGTTAAAGAAACACGAAGTTATCTTTCCCCACTATTTTTGGTTTGATCAATGTCTCTCTCTCTCTGAAACAACTGCTACAGACAACGCGGCTTCTTTTTTTAAGTTTCGACTTTTAACACAAGTTATAGCGTTTTATACAAGCATATTATTCTACTAATTGTTTTAGTTCGTAATGTGTACTTTTGAAAAGTTTAAGTCAAAAGGGAATGGTGAGTGATTGCAAAAGCTCGGTACACATTAAGCTTACGTAGACAAATTAATGAGCACGGGTCAGCGTCGTCACCTTGTGCCCTTTGAAAGTTTTACTTCTGTTGACCGTGGTATTACCTGCTTGAAATTTTTGATTACCTGTCTGAACTTAGGGACTTAGGGTTTTAATGCATTGTAACTGATTACTGTTTAAAAATCAATAAAAGAAACGGGGCATAAAACACGAATCGAGATCGGCAAGTCCGCGAACGCAAAAACAGCCGCCCACAGGAACGCAAGGCGTATGCGCATTATGCTGGCGCAAATTTAAATTAGTCTAAATATGTTCTTAAGGGGGGGAAAAATGCAAAATTTGCATGAGCAAAGAAGGTACCGAAAAAAAAAATGATTACTGAATAAGAGTATGGTATGACTTATTTATACTGAAAAATAATTGATGTCCTTTTCATCTCTTTTGCAGGCAGATAAAATGACGCGACAATAATTACTTCATAAGCTTTACATTAAAATAATTCTAGAAGACGTAGCATGGGGATTTTAATTGCAATGAATTCTGATTAGCCAGTGATTGGAGGCAAGACGCCCAGTTTTTCAAGAGAAAATGAATTTTGTAGCCTGCGAAACAAGAGGATAAAGGAATTTGTTGTTCTACGATCGCTCTAGAGGAGAGACCGCCAAAAATCTTTTTATATTTTAGCGCGAGTTGAATTCTTTTACTTTATACCCCGTGTCACACTCGCCATTCATGAAACTAAGATCATAGAATACCGCAACATGGCCCTTAAATTCTATTTATAGCATTCCAACTCGGCAACTTGATTTATTGAATGCGGAGTTGAGCATACATTATCGTGCAGTGCAAACAGTTATGCTAATTATTTACAATACGGCCATGTAAACAAATAGCCGATGAAAGCACCTTTTGAGCTTTATTTCAAATTTAGGTCCTTTGTCGTCCATGAAAGTCCTGTTTATTCGTGCATAAATACGTCCTGCCCTCTTGCTCTCTTTGAGACTTTGTGTACTTTGAGATATAGAAAGAATGCATCGGAATGTAGGTCGCCGGAGAACATGCTGGCACTAAAAAACTGTAAAATTCGATCCTGGTTACATATGTATGTAAAAAAAGTGTGCTGTAGTTGGTGTGTTTGATATGTCGGCAATTTTACAGTAGACCTCAATGGGTACATTCGTCTGTTTTGAATATGAGCATCAGAAGTAATGTTGACTTTTGTGGTGGGAGTGGGGGGGGGGGGCTCCATAGAAACAATCCTAAAGGAATGAAGTACGAATCTCTATAAATTGCCATTGTGAGATTTCCTAAAACTTTTCTCAGCTTTGGATCTCCACTTGTTCTCAGTAGTGACGCAATATGAGTCAAATCTATCGTGTAGAATTTCATTTTGGGGCACCAGACAGGTTGCATACCAGCACAGGTCATTGTGAATGACAACAATCACAGCCGTCAGTCAAACGGCATGATTGGCAGGGTGGGCGGGACTTAAGCGCGACCACCCTTTTGTGTGCCTGGCATATAACCGAGACATTGGTCGGCAAGCACTCGAAGAAGTAACACCAACAGAATCTGTATTCCGACCAGTCAATCACAAACTCACTGAATCTACCTCACATCGACTGAACTACAACTTTTGCGACCCACAAGGAACATCACCAAGTTATTTTCATTCGGACGATTCACTTATCAAGCAAAATGGAAGAGGAATTGCTGTGTTGTGAGAGTGGCGTTGAGACATTCGAAAATATCAAGCGGGCTTATGAAGATCCAGTTTTGTTAAAAGACAACCGAGTGCTAGAAACTTTACTGAGAACTGAGGAAAGATATTTACCTTCTGCTTCATACTTTAAATGCGTACAGACAGACATTAAGCCATTCATGAGAAAAATGGTTGCAACGTGGATGCTTGAGGTATGACCTATCAACAAGTGGAGTGCATTGAATATTTTTATGTATCGCATTTAAAAGTAAAAAAGAAATATTTCTACCTCGAATTGGCGATTTTTATAAAATACACCTGTTAGCCTATGGATTTGTGAATACGACATACTTTAATTTAAACCTCTAAATTGAAAATTGACATTTTTTCTAAAATATCCTATTTGAAGGCGCTAGTCGGAGTGCGCCACAAAATGGCGTGTCGGGAAGAGGGTCATCTACTTTAAATCTCCCATTTGACACTTTCTCGATTTTTAATTTATATTTTTAGTTATAAAATAATTAGAAGTGAGAAAGGGGTTTATAAAAACGTTACTTTCATATATGTACATGATTGTAGCGATTTGATGTTGAATTTTTATTTCCGTGGAATTTCGTCACTAGGAGCCACTTGGAAATGGGTTCCGACTTTATGCCTTGAAGCTGAAAAGATAGCAGTCGTAGGGTTCCAGGTGTTCTCTTTTCCTTTCTTAATGTTCTTCAAGATGCTGTCGTTTGAAAATTGGACATTAATGTGGATGTTATGGTATTTTTGACGAATTTATTAATCGATAAATGCAAGGCTTCGGTGGTGGGAACGCGTTTTCTCGAGATTTCCAAAGGGGGTGTTTTCAGCAATCTTGTAAAAAAGTAATTAAAATGTTTCAAATTGTATTTAAATTGCACTGGTAATTAAGTGCAGTCATGGGTCAATGCAATTTTCTCATATTTGTAAAGATTTGACTTTTTGTGCAATTTCTATGAATATTATCTGAAGCTCGTCGGCTCAAAGTCGGCACCGGAAAAAGGCATTACCTTGTAACACAGGAAGTCGACAGTTAAAATTCTAGAGACAGTCGCGCTTCCCGCGTTTAGAATCGTTAAATTTAATAACTCTAACACTGATGCGCGATTATTAGAACGATTATTTGCATTAAAATCAATTTTTCATCATTTTTTTGCAAATATCTGCAGAAGTTGCGTTTTGCACGCGGGTGCTGGAATTTGATGACGCAGACAGGTGGCTAGCTATGCATGGCTGGCCAGGACGACTGACTCCTAATGCAGGAGGCAATTGTTGAAATTTTCATATTTCATTTTTGGATTTTTTTTAGGTTTGCGAGGAACAGAAGTGTGAAGAGGAAGTCTTTCCATTATCCATGAACTACTTGGACAGATTCTTATCCATAGTGAACACAAGGAAAAACAGACTACAGTTGCTGGGAGCTGCATGCATGTTTCTGGCATCAAAGTTAAAAGAAACAATTCCACTGACTGCAGAAAAAATTGTTATCTACACAGACAATTCCATATCCTATCAAGAACTTCTGGTACATATAATTTCATACTGATATTTGTGTGATGTTCATGCTAGATTAACCATCAGAATTGTACCGAGTGCTGTGTGGGTATCGAACCCATAACAATGGGTGCTTGAAAAGTGAGATTTACAGTCCATGTCAATCTGTGGGAAAGTTTTATTGGGATCGAAACTTGTAAAATCCAAATTGAATGTAGATTGTTGTTATACACTTCCCCTTTCTCACAACTGTCTGAGTCACAAGACGCAGACGGCGATGGGGGAAAGGGAGGGGGGGGGATGAAAATTATCCAGCCGTTTAATACACATTAAGAAGATCAAGGAGTACATCTCTAGCCAAACAAACAATTTTGGCATAAGTAGTCCATGCTTTGTTTGTAAACTATTACAGGAAAATCTCTTGTATTCATTTTCACCAGGTAATTCTGATTAACAGTAGCCAATTTCTGGAACTAGCTCTTATCAGATGGAAAAAGTATCATTTTTCTTTTGATTATTGTAAATGTATCAGTTTTACCACCATTATAATGTTAATGTCGGAGTCTCCCAAAAACGGTGTGGACTTATCTGAGAAAGTATTTTATAGCTGTTCCACCTTGAAATTTTCATAAATTATCACATAAAACCCATCAGTGGGAGTCTCTAGGACCCAGGGCATGGGCCCTATCAAGTTGCATGTTTTAGGAATTTAAAACACTTGCGATCTCCAGAGTGGAGTCCTGTGGGAAAGTGATAGCTCTGTTTATGTTAGATTATCATAGCTCACACACTTGGTGACCTGTTGGTGTTAATAATTAAATAGCAACTTAATTACTCAGATTATGAGCAGCAAATCAGTTCAGAACCTTGGCATGTGGACATAATGTTATTATCAGTTTTTGACAAGAAGTGTCAAAAAATGAAGTTGATGTTTAGTGTTTGCTTTTTTATTTTGTAGGACTTGGAATTGTTAGTATTACAGAAACTAAAATGGGACTTGTCGGCTGTCACCCCACATGATTTCTTGGAACAAATTTTAAGTCGACTACCAATTGACAGAGAAAAAGCTACGGTGATGAAGCGACATGCTCAGACGTTCATTGCTTTGTGTGCCACAGGTAAGACAGGAATGTCGCTTATTTTTATGTGCTACGATTGCGTGGTGTGAACTAAGAGAACAGCTAGTCATGTGAATGGAGACCAGGCTGTCTACAGGGATTGGTGGGATGTGAATATCGTCTGTGTGAACATTTTTCTCGAGGCTGATAAGCCACTGTTTGGCTTGACCTAAAGGCTATCTTGCATGTTATCTGTGTTAGTGATGCCAGGTAAACATGCAGTATAAAGGAATGTTTATATCCTGACAACAGCCATTTAATAATACAGGATCAGAGGTAGCACTACTTTGTCTGTATCTGGGTGCCAAGGCCCTGCCCCCAGGGGTGGCTGAACAGAGCAGGGGGCACCTGCTGCATACTTTTCTATTAAGGGTTGAATCTGGTAAGTTGGTGGTAGGGCTGTTTCAAAGACCAAAAGTGTACTTTTTATGTAAGACCAGCAGTGCACAGTGCGCGGGGCACAGTACGCGGGGCTAAATGGCCTCTTTTCATCAGCTTTGATTGGTGGTCTACCTGACTTAGAAGTTATGAATGGGAAAACAGGATTCCTAATGTGATGCCTTAGTTTGCTAAATTTCATTTCTTTACAACTGCACTGGAAGGGTATGATAACTTCTTTAAAGAATGGCCAAGTGAGTGCTGAATAGAACAGACTATTTGATTTAATTAAATTTCACTGACCCTGAAGTTGTGTTATTTTGGGGGGTTGAAGGGTTCTGGTATGTTCTTTGCATAGGCTAATTTGTGGCATGAGGGAATGCCTCATTTGCAAAAGAAAAGCTTTCTGGGGGTTATATACGATACCACAATCAGGAGTTACAAGGTACATATTCAAATGTGCACTTAGTATAAACTGTGCATTACAAAGCTGGTTGGTCACATTGAAGAAACCTGTGTGTTTGTGGATACACAAAAGCCAGAATTAACTTCTGAATGGAGAAAATTAAAAAGGATTGAAAAAATTCAGGAACAAGTGTACGCTGTAGGTTAAGTGAATGAAAATGATTACAGTGAAATTTGAGTGGCACAAGTATTGTGTGGCCTGCGGTGAAAGAATTCTGTATTTTTCTAGCGGTGCACTTTATTGCTTTTCTCTTAGATATTTGTAGACAAAACATAGTATTCAGAGTAGGGAACGGGGCACCCATTCACAAGCTACGCTTACCGTGCTTTGAACTTGTGCTTTTAATAAGCAGTCTAGCTATGTAGAATGCACTGACTGAGGGTTTAGTGGCCTCAAAAGAGAAATGTTGTTGCACTTGAAAGTCTAAGATGCTGGTCACTGATAACCTTACTGGCTTAAAACACGTGAACACTTCCTTCTTTGTCTTCTTAAAACTTGGCTTCTTAATGGTTAAAGTGAAAGATGGATTAGGAGTGTTTGCAAACTTTTTTCCTTTGTTAAACTGGAAGCCCAAATTATACTTCTAGAAACTTGTAGGCTTGCATACTCACAGAACAACCCGTGGGGGTTTATTATCATTCCTAAACCATTGTAGAACCTGTGTCCTTTTACAGTGTTTAAGAAATACTATCTCCGCGTGGTTACTGTCTGGTGTTGTTCATTCATGTTGGTAACAATACCTTTGTTTACTGCTCCCCTAGCGCTGTGTCACCATGTCAGCACATCGCTATTAGAATAAAAAATCTATGTTGTGACTGGGTTGTTTAACGGAACTTGAGAAGGGTGAAGAGTCAACGAATCCAGTTGCCATTGGAATGCTGGAACTTATCTTGTGTGTGCTGCCATCTAGAGGTGAAACTTCTGCCACCCTGCCGTCTGCGTTATCTGTTACTGTAAATCAGATTAACAGAAGGAAATGAAGCTCATATGCACACTACCACTTGTTGCTAAGCGGCATGCAGAGAATGCTAAATGGTAGTAGGATGTCATTTCACAGTAAGTGTAGCAGGCTCTGTCAGAAAGCTGTAAGGAAACATTAATTCATGGCGGATGCTGAAATGAGCTGATTCAGTATGAGTAAAGGAAGAAAAAAAATGGTAGGCTTCTTCAGCGCCTTAATTTTTTACATCGGAAGAGGAAGATGGCGTAACACGACCTGTGGCCTATGAAGGTTCTGCGTTTTGTTATCTCCAGTAAATACACAGTGTGTGACTATCTTAGTACAAAGAAACCTGGTTGTAACAGATGTTAGAACTCCAGAGGTGGCCTATGGCAGCTGCAGGGAGTCAGCAGCTGGGATCTTCCTATTGTTTATCAACAGCCATGTCATTACACAGTGCGAGTATTCAGCTCCCTCAGCCTAGCCTAATGAGGGGCACGTGCCTACAGATAAACTGTCATGCAAAGGTACTACCCTGAGTTCTGTGCCCACGGAGCCATGCGACAGATGTTTCTAACCTTTTTGTCACAGCTTACTTCTTGAAATAGTTTTCTTTTCTTTGTTGCGTTGTATTATACAATTTCAGCTGTAGAAAAGCATGCCAGAGTGGTGCGGGGCACCCAGGCTTGAACTCCCTCAAGGACGAGAGAACGTCCAGAATGAGATTATGTTAGAACTGTACATTTATGATTTGGATACTTAGATATATAGATAATATTTATGAGAGTTAACAAGATGTACTTCGTATGCTCCATCGGCACTTCTTTACCCCGTGAAGCATGGTGCGCGAGGAGACCATTGTGGCCCCCTTTCACTTCATTGCCCCGGCTATTGAGAGATCAAGTCCTGTAACGTTATCACCTCTTTCATAGGAAAGAAAATGTGAATTAAAAATAAACACGGAAAACAAGTGGTTTTGTGTTGGTGCGGTAGGTTGGTCCAGAATAGTCGGCCACAGAGAAGGGGGTCTATCCTCATGAGTAGTGTGGTAGGTCTGAAGAAATTAGCACTGAAAACAGAAGCAAGCTGCCTCAGAAAACTTGGCTAGGCAGATGATTTTTTTTCCTATTTAGAAAATAAATGTGCTTATTTTAGTACATTTCCCTTATCTCCAGTCGGCCACGGTTGGTAACCATGAATAGTTGCTGCTAACCCGAGCTGTGTACAAGCATGCTGTTGACTTGTCCGCAAGCGGAAATCATTTTTTCCAGTAGCGGCAGGTGATGGTCACGGCTGAAAGGAGCTGCAGTCATAGGAAGGCTTTTTACCAGACTGATAGCTTGAAATATGTGCTGGCTGCATCCACACCGCATTGTGAAAAGACATTAGAATGTAAAATGAAATGTGTTTTTAAAGAGATTAAGTTAATTGTTAAAGTGTAGTGTTTGGGCACGGCCTCTAACCTGGACTTGATTATAGTGGGGACTCCTTCACCTAGTGCACCTGCCGCCCGAGGAATGTTAACGCCCTGCATTGCGCAGATTTATAGGAGCATGTTAAGAGGTTTCCTTTGACAGTATAGAATTGGAAGGGGCCTGGCTGGCGTGAGATGACACTAGAAGTGTGCCCCTATTGTATGAGGCCCCCATCTTATAGTATCTCTTTTAAGCAACAGGTAGGCACTGAGAAATGGATGTCCATTAGCAGGAAATAGAGAAACATGTTCCTGTCTTAAAAATGCACACTCAGGCTCTTGTAGTCTAGACTTCAAATTGCTGTGGAATTTAATATGTATAGTAGGTTGTTATGTGAAAGACATTTTAAATGAACAGTTAAGACAAAATTCAAATACACCCATGTAAATTGGAAATGGCATTTTAAGCTCTATGGTTTCACTTATTAGCACCCTTAGTGGAGAGGTGTTGGTCTTTTTGACTATGCTGGGGATTAACGTATGTGTATAAAGAATTTGAGCTTTGCATGATGATTTGAGTAAAAAGTGTATTGTTAGGTTTGGGGCAAGAGGGGGATTAGAAGCCAGCGGCACTATTAAGTTGACTGACTTATAACAGACATGGTGTGGACAATTGAGACTTCTTAATCCAAAAGTAAACTCTTCTTATTATCAAATGCTCTGACATAGAAGACTTCACTATGAACTATCTGTACACTCAGTTTACACCTTGAGTTGATTGATAATAAAAGTGCATTTATTATTTCAGACTTCAAGTTTGCGATGTATCCCCCCTCTATGATCGCTGCAGGCAGCGTGGGTGCGGCGGCACATGGGTTGTTGGGGCCAGGGTGGGCAGACCAGGCTGACCTGATGGAACAGCTACAGAGAATCACAGGCATTGATGCTGTAAGTAATGGATTCTTGGTATCTTACACAGTTACTGTGATATTGTAAACAGACCTATTGTAATAATAGACCCATCCCCCATAAGTAGACTAGCACACTTTGAGGATGTAGACTAAAAGTTATTGTGCTCCTTTGTTTTTAGTTAATTGTGTCAAATAATGTGAAGTGCTTTGATCCAGTCAGAAAAAATTGGAGCTAATTTGACACTGGTAAAGTGTAGAAGTCATGGTCTAGAGCATTGGGTGATATTTTGGGCCAATTATCAGGCGTGGGAAAGAATGTGCAACTGCTCTGTATGTTGATGTCGCAACAAGTGAGGGGTGAGTGGAAGAATGAAAGGGGACATTTTGTGATTGATTGGAAGACAATTTAAAATCTGGGTTGAAAAATTCCGGCACCTTCTTCACGCTGCCCCGAACAAAGACCAGCAATGTGAGTGTAACCTTAACAGTAGTGCTCCACGTCTACATTATCCCCTCTCCTGGTTTTATACATTGTACACGATGCCCAGAACACTGGATTATCATGACTTTGGTATGAGTCATCAGAGCAAAGGGGCTGTTACCAAACATAACAGCCCCTTTTGAGGATAGGGAGAGCATTTTCTGAGGCAGTATCCATGCGGTGTAACTATGAAAAATGGAGCAGTAGGAAGTTGGTCACTGATACTTCCGCAGTGTATTAATGCCATGTCTAACTGGATGATTGAAAGTGAGACTGCAGGACCACTCTCCGCTGAAATACCAGCACATGTTAAGTTGGCACACCTGACACCTAGGGATGACCACGAGTCAATTTCACTTAAAATATCAGGGAATTTGGTTTTAGAAAGAACAGGCTTGAGGTGAAATGTATTCAGAACCCAAACAGTTTTTTTATTTGGTTTCAAAAAATTCACTGCATATTTATATTCATGGGTGGCCAGACTTCAATGGAGAACTGTCTATCTCAATTTTGACTGTGATATGGGTTGGATTTGAGAAGCAAGCTAGCGGCACTTTTGAACTTGATCTGCTGCAATGGCAATACATCCTCTCTGCTTAGAATGTTTGCACAAACTACCAGCTTGCTGGATAAGCTGTGGTGCTTAAAGAATTGATTATTTCCAAATTAAGACTAGTTGCTTTAAGCATTACCTCTGAAAATATAGAAGTTTGTATCAGAAACCTTGATAAGCACTGCTCACCTCTACGCCCCTTTACAATACGGTATTGGCAACAAAGTCTCTGTAGAATGGAGCATAAAAAGTGACTAGTTTATACACTATTTGGTAACATTTTGGCTTTGTGTTACTATGTACCCCCACCCAGTGTAAACACCAGACTATGGAAGAAATGATGTGAAAAGAAAGCTGCAGCTCCTGGGCTCCAGAACCTGCTAACAGATGGTGAAATTCTTAAGATTTCCCCTCCAAGCTATAGCTTGCCCATGAGGTCTGATTTCCCCTGCTCAAAAATTTCCAGACTTCAAATGAAGATGTGTTGGGTTTTTATTTCGAGGTTCTTGCACCAAACACCACCAGTGATGTGAAAGTAAACTTCCAAGTCGTGAGAACAGCCACCTCAAAGTGTGTTCATCTGTTGAACCCTACTTATCAGGCCACCTAGCAGGAGGCTGGCCGGCTACAAACTGAAACAGTCACTTAAATGTGCAGTCTGGAGAAAGAACTTTCTTTCCTCTTGCTTAGGGGGGAACATGCAAGCAAGTATGTTTAAGAAGTGGTTTTTAATGTTGTTATCTTTCTTTTCTTTACAGGACTGCCTAAGAGCGTGCCAAGAACAGATCGAGCAAGCATTGTCAACCAATTTACCACAGCAGGCAGATAGCCCTTCTAAGCGTGAAACCACCAGTAGCCCGACGTCCAAGGAGCATCCTACAACTCCTACAGATGTCCGTCACATCGAAGCTTATCATTGAACTGTAGCAGCAGATTCGCCATCCTGCAGTGAGTCATCTGTCCAAGCTAGACTAGCTACACAGCAAGCTTAAATATAAAGATCTGACGGTGACGGGCCATCCTGCACGAGACAAGCCACCGACAGTGGGATTGGTTGACCTGTTACCTCAGTCATACTACAATGTCTTTCCAATATGGGTCTTATTGTTATTATAATAATAGTAATTATTATTATTATTATTACTGCAACTCGTTGTCTCAGAACTGTACCTTAGACAGGACTGCTCAATCCAAGCCTTCTTACTGCCTCAGAATCGTTAACTCCAGCAGAACTTGCTGCCTGTATTTGTAGGACTCAAAAACCATGTGATAAAGACTTCTTGCAAGTGTTAGTGCTACACTGCCGTAGGCTAGGGACACTGGCAGTCTACCAAATGAGACAATGCATTATTGTTATGATTTCATACAGGAGTCTGGAGGTTCTAGCCCTGTGGAACCCATTTTTTTTAATGTGAGCACACACCTATATGTATTTATGTATGTAACAAGTCTCTTTTTATGTTTCTTTTTTTTTCTGGGGGTTTGTCCCCTCCTAAATACCAGCATGATCCGATTGTACAATCATTAATATACTTGGAACATGCTAGTATTGATTAAAATACAGGATTTTGTTTTTTTATTCCCAAATGTTTGCATCGGATCAGCAGCATGGGAATCTGAATGATAGGCTTCTGGCAGTTGTGTTGGACAGGTGCCCATGCTGCTGATGTGCTGTGACTTTATATTGCCAAAAATATTGGGCCCTCTTCAGTGTGGACTGGGGTGTGCCACCCCCGGAGATTTCCAAAATGTGATATGGTGCACCGCCCGGTAGACACTGCAGGGGGCTGCATGTAGATAGAAGCCTGCTTGGGTTACTTTTTATTAAGTTAATGAAAATAATTCAATGGATAGGGAAATAGAAAGTATGTGTTAATCTGTGCCATCCTATGCAGTCTTGTGGTGATCTGCAGTTACCAATCAACAAACGGTTAACTATGGATGTAAAGATTGCTCTTGTATCTTTAGTTGAGTAGTTGATATTGCAAGATTTCTTAGCAATTTGGCACTACTTTGACCAGAGGACATTGTGTCCAGCGTGTTGGTCATGTTATACCCTTGTGTTCATCCATCATGTGTCCAGCTAGTACATGGAGAGTGGAGAGAGTTTGTAGACCCAGAGTATGAGTGCTAATTCTGGGTACAATTATTAATTTTTTTTTTCAAGGATTATAATTCTTGATATCCTCATTATTGAGGTTATTTGTTAAAATTGACAAAAATGTCTTCCATTGGTGTTACTTGAATTTCATCATTAATCTAGAAGAGAATTATGTCATCAAATGAAACAACTTTGATATTTTGTTTACAAAAAATGTCTGAATTGTGAACTTGTAGTTCACGTGAATGTGTATCTTCAAATATACTTACAATTACATTTCCAGTTATTGAATAACTGATTTTAGGTGAATTTTTCCACAAATGCCTACTTATTATCAGAAATGAGCTTTGGATTGAATTCCTTTAACTTCAAACAACTCCAATCTAAATTGAGGCCAATAGTTTACTGACACAAAATATAACCAGAATAAACTTAAGATCAGAATGGAGCTAGGCAGTAAGGCAAACTGAAGTTAAACGTCTTTGCTCTTAAACTTGCCATTATGTCAGTTTCTGTTTTAGTAGGCATTTGAAGTAACCATTGTTTATGTTACCCACTTCTTTGCTTTGTGTGAAGGCTAGATATCTTCATTATTTTTGGGTTTATGTTTCTGCCTGGTGTCTGTGCACAGGACTTTAGTAATTGTGTGCTGTGAAAAAATTTCTAGTCTGTTTGCTAGCAGGTGAAAGAAAGGTATAGATCCTGCAGGGGGTGGAGGGGGAGGGGGGGACATGTTGTTGCTGGTAAATAACAAAGGTGGTAGACATCATTTGTAGCCAGTGGCTTTCACCTGCTAGCAGCCCTGTAATTCCTTCTGGCGTGTTCTTTCCTTGTGCTGAATAAGATCATCGATGACATTGACAGGGGAGGGGTGGGGGGACATTTTCTTAATTTGTCCAACAAGAACCACCTGAGGTTTTTGTAATGTTAAAATGTCCAAAAAGTCTTCCAGGGAGCAAGATGGGTGAAGTACTCATTAAAAGTGTTGACAGTGACAGGTTGAGTGAAACAGCACTCCAGTCTTTAGAACTGAGTAAAGCTGGATGTGTGTACAAGATAATGCAAGAGTTATGGAGTTTACTCGATGTTTAAATTTAGCTGATGTTAAGTCTTTCAGGAAAGATGGATATGCAAACAGATTGTCCATAACTTGTTAGAAGAAAGGGTTCTGTCTTTGGTGTGCACAAAAAGGTATACCTCAGCTTACTAGCTGTCGTAATGAATGTGGTTTAAGCAAATGTGAGTGAAATTTTCCATTGTTAAAATGGAAGGTATGTTATGTAAATAACGGGAAAGAAATGAAATAAAATTTTTGAAGAAATAAAAAGAAATGTTTTTTTTTTCTCTTTAAAACTTGTCCTTATGAAGAAGTTTTTCTCTTGGTTGGGGTTCTTAGCTGGAATCCAAATTCTAGATTTACACAAAAAACATTGATGTTTATTTTGATGGAGTGAAGTCCATCCTGGTAACTGTGTGGTCAAGATATTCTGAGGACAGAGAGGGCAAGTTACGGTGATCGGCCACAGGAAGTCACGTTAACTACACGTTGCATGCTTACAGAGGTGTGGAGAAAGATGACTTTTTCAACCTGCCCTGTAAAAAAAATATATAAAAATTTGGTTGATATTAGCGAGACAACGCTAAAACCATATCAGAATTTTTTTTATCAAGTGAATTTTTGGATTTCAAATCAATGTCATTATTTGGAGGAGTTTGTTTAGACCATGTCATGATGTTGGGAAAGAGTGATGTAAAATGGGATGAAATTGTCAAGAGTTGATGCAAATTGTTAGTAAGCTGTAATACCAAGCTCTAAATTGGCAAAGGATAATAAATAAATGGTGGATCTTCAAATATTGTGGCATCAAATACCCCTTTGTTAAAAGCTTTTTTATTTTAGTTTGTTGGGTGAAAACATTCTGCTCCTTCAAAAATATTGAATAAAAACAAACAAAATTGTTAATTCTAGAAAATATGAACAAATGTACATCTTGATGAAGCATTAGAAAAGATGACTGTCATGGAGTGCCCAGGCCTGGAACCAATTTCCCCTCAGAGGAAGAGGTCTTCGTGTGCTATAATCAATGCATTAAAACATTTTCTGAATGAACTCCTTCATTCCCTCTATGGGAAAAGAGTCACAAGATAATCCCCACTTCCTATACATTACTCCTCCGCATGCTAAGAGAGCCATACTCGGGGAAGGCAGCAGCCATGTGGAAAGCCAGCCACACATTCCTTCAGTTAATTGACCATAAGAGAAATATTAATAAAATTCAATATCCACTTGAGGAGCAGTGATGTGTGATTCCCTTAAACCAATGAGTTCTAACAGACATCAACAAAAATAGACTAAATATTTCTTTCAGAAATGGTCCAAGATGAGAAATATTTGTTTTTGGTCCAGGTAAATAGGATAAATAAATACCATGCCCTTGTATTTCTAATTTTAACTACTTAGAAAAAGGCAAAATAATTGCCTAGATTCACATGATGCAAAAATGACCGATATGACTTTATAGAGAACATTTGATCTTTGCATCCTTCATGACTTATAAAATAGGTGTGAATCGAAGAATAAATTAGGGTGAATATTTTCAGAAGTCATTCCAAAACATAACCAAAGGACAAATGTACCACAAGACCATCAAACTATGAAAACAAGTATAGTTGAGATTCATCAAATTTATCTCCCAGTTATTCTCACATAAATTTATGTCGGAGGCATCATTTGAATTCATCTTGTTAAAAGATTCATCATATTAATGCCAATGAATATCTTGTCCTCTTGGACAACAGTCAAAACAACTCTGGCGTCCGAAAAGCAGTTCAATTTAAAATCCTTGTTATGAGAAGTTTTTAAAATTTGGCACCATTATGTGATGAAGCAAGAAAAATATCAATATTAAGATTTTTTAAAAATAATTTTTTCTGCAAATATTTTTGATTAAAAAAAATTCATTTTCAACAAAGATGCGGATTAACCAAGAACCAAGACACCTGCTTATGATCACCAAGTCAACTATCACAATAAATTTATCTTCTTGATGAACAGTAAAAACGATGGCCATATGATAAACTTGTAAAGTACTTAGGGTGAGCCTTTCAGAAGATGGACTGTGCTGCACCCATCCCAGACATGCCATTTCAAGGATGCAGAGACTACAGTACTTTATGCGTCTTTTTCAGGACTGGATTTTACTTATTTCCTTATTTATTTCATGCACACGATTATACTTTATTATTTATCTAGCATGTAAGTAATACTTCCGAAGCATGTCCCAGAAATATTTTTTATATCATTGCATTGCATATTATCAATGGCACATGCCATATCATAAGCTACAAAAATAAATTTGTACTTTATTTGCTATCGTCTATAAACTTGATCAACATACATTTCACCAATAAAAATACAGAAGTCAAAATTTGGGATCATTCTGTTATTAGGAACAGTTAAGCTTGGCAGAAATGTGAACAGTAACACATAATTAGGTTAGATACTGCAGCTTGCGCAAGTTACTTGTAGATTTCCCAACAGTCATTGTGTCATCGTGCTCCCAGAGGGAGGCAACCTCGCAATTCCATATAATCAGGAAATTGCTTAAGTGTAGGTGTCTATTATAGTCCCCACCTGACCACAAGAATGAACAGAATGCAGTCAAACTGCACACACACTGGTACAAAATGAAAGTAGGAAAGATGCGGCAGTCACACGACTCAAGTCATTATAGACTGCTAACTGATAACAATACAGCTTGTACCCAAACTAATGTGGCAATCATTGTGCAAAACTTGTTTTATACACTAGTTCTGTGACAGAATTCAAAAATAGTTTGAAAACACCCTTTTTTTCTATACATCTCTTTATTATTATCATTTTTATTTTTTACAAAGATGCAAAACGGAAGGAAAAATCACCAAGATCAAACCCTGTAATAGTAGCAAGAGATGGTTTCATGCATTTCCATTAATTGTTCAATGGATAAATGTGCACCACAGAAAAGTGACACTGTGGGAAAGAATAAAGAAACAACTTACAAAATTCCTTTAGAGGTTAAAAAGTCAAAGTAATCAACATTGTGGTAATAAAAATTCTACGGCACTTTTGTTGTCATGCAACCTATATGCTACAAGATTTGAGGGAAGATGAGGGGTAGTAGCACGGCAATATCTGTGACCCCAGGGCTGGTGCAGCATGGGAAATACCCCATAATTATGTTAAAAAACACATAAATGACAGAGAGTCAATGAGTTATACTTTATTTTTTGGAAAATTCCTTCTTGCTTAGTCATGTTAAAGGATGGAGGTACCACTCACTTTTATTTTGTTCATTGACTCCCACAAGCAGACAATGCCCAAACAAATGTCACTTATAAAGATGATCATAAAAAAAAAAAAAAAAAAAAAAAAATACACACACACACTACATCGTTCCGATTGCAGAAAGTCTCTACATACCTGTTCTTCTCCCACACCAAGTTTTTTTTCAAAAAGATCCGTTCTAGAAATAATTCTATCGCCATTCATGAAGAGGACATAGTTATCCTTCACATAAAATTGGATCATATATGAGTTGCCATTTATCATTTATCATCCTTTATCAATGCTTCATTAATCTGAATTGTTCTTTAGCAAAAATATGAGCAAATATGAAGATATTTTCTGAAAGATAAATCATTGTGGAATGAAATAAAAAAAAAAGAAGGAATAATGTAATTTAATTCATATCATAAATTAAATTTCTCACTTATAGCTGGTCTGATTTCTTTCAGAGGGCTCTTTACTGAGAAATAAAAATGAACATAAACTCATATGCTTCACCTGAACTTCCATCAAATTAAGATATAATGATATATACCATAATGTGCAGACTTCTAAACATTGTACAATAAATACTATCATTACATCCAAAGGACTACCTGTAGCACGTGGAATACATCATCACCATACTTTGAAAAAAGATTAATTAACCAATCATCACAAATGATGGTCTTTATCAGGCAGAGGATGTAATTGACTGCTGCAGAGAAACCTTTTCAAGTGGCAATAATGTGAAAATTCAAGTCAAATAATTTGGTGCAATAATGATACCTTGGAACAAAAGAGCACAGTAAAAAGGCTACTTAGTTAGGATCACTCCCAGTTGATGTGCTAATGAAGACCTGAAACACTCTCCTCCTCCCTATTCACAACGTCAAAAAGGGTTGATTACTGAAAAACTTTTCCCCAAAATTATATATAATTCTAAACTGGCCAGTTATGGTGAGAGTGACTGCCACTTTGCACTAATTCCAGTATTTAGTATCTTGGCTAAAAGTACTTGAAACTGAGACAGTTAAATCACAACTTGTAATCCTACATTGATCCTACATTAAGTTGGGAAAGTCTTAAAGATTCAAGCAGGTTGACATTGTAACAACTGCCCAGTCAGAGATTGCCTGCAGTTCCAACATTACACGACTTGGAAGGTTGTGCAATATTCATTAAAGCCCAACCCACAAAAAAAAAAAATAAATAAATAAAAAAAAAAAAATTCAACAGTAAAAGGTTTCTCTGTACAAATTTATTTATTTCTTTTTTTTTTTAAGAAACCTGGCAATAAAGATTAAAAGCAGCAACTCAGAGTTCACCTTGTCAAAAATTATTTGAAAATGTACTTTTACAATGGGAGGTCTATTAGCCTTGGACTTAAGCCTGTTAAAAAAATCGCAATAAAAACAAATTTTTACTCGGATTCTCAAATGAAGAGATAAGTTGTCACACCAAGTTTGTGTGCTTGCATGCTCAACTATGAGGCAAATGTTTGAAGAAGTGTTAAAATATGCTGCTCTTCTCTTCCCTCTACAAGATAGCTCTCTGTGTGTGATACATCTGGCTCTCAATTATGATTTCATGAACTTTCATAAAAGTTTATGTCTTCCTTCTCCTGCCTTGCCTCCTTCTGGGCCTTGTATAATGAGAGCTGGAGGACGACATACCTGCGTAACAAACACAGGTAAATGACATAAAAGGTGTGCGAATTGCCCTAGTTCACTGCTCTCTCTCACCTCAGGCACTTATTACCTAATCTACAGACTTCATTCTGATACAGGCATAAATCATAGCAATAAAAGACTGGGAGAGAAACATTGCTGAAATGGGTTGGTTTATTTGTTTTTTATTTTGATGGAACTTCCGGGTGACCTTACAGAAGTTTCTCACGACAGGTTTATTTCAGGGCTTGTATCAATGTACAACATTACATGTTCTGATTTATTGTATTATGATAGAAAAAATGTAACACAATAAACAGTATAAACAAACAAAAACTGAACCGAATTTACCTCTGGACTTTTTCAATCTACAGCTTTATCAATTGTATAAATCATAAAGAAAAAAGAAAAAAAACTGCGTAACTGTTTCAAAGGAGCATTTCACTAATAAAAATGATCTGTTTTAACAAAGATGTTCATTTTAATTTTCTCAAGGATCTTTCATCAGGTCCCAAATTCTTCTCAGTAAATGATACACGGACAGGGCAAGTTTTTAAAATTAAATTTGGGCATTCCTTGCACCCAGTGTCTAAGAGGGGTCAGCAGAACAGGGTAATGGAATAAAAAATGTGACCCTGATCAAATGGGGTGTGGCCAGAGAGGTCAGCCAGGGGTTAGCCAGAGGTCAGCCAGGGGTCGGGGATGTATGGAAAAGATTTGGAAATTTGGAAGTTATGTACATGCGTCTCTTTACATGAATGAAAATATTCAGTTGGCAATTTGGGGAGGGGGGGGGGCAATTTGAGGAAAGAGGGGGAGAAGGGTGCATGCCTGTGCTCATGACAATTAAGCATGTTGCACCCTTTTCAAATAATCGAATATCCAAGCCATAAAAAACTGCACTTTAACACAAATAGGAAATGAAAGGAATGCATGTAGCCACTCCATCCACTCAAAGAAAATGAAGACAAACGTGATCCATTTCAACCTTGGTCCAACTTTCTTAGAATTGGAAAGAATTACACAATGGAAAAATAACTTCTCTGGTTAATTTATGTCCAATTATTTCTGTAATCATTTGAGTGAAAACAAATAAATATAAATGTGTAGAAATTTTATTGGTTTTTATGAGAAATACTGTGGTTTATTGAACACTTATATTTCCACTTAAACTATATACATCTAATACATGTAAGTTTTGAAAATTACAGTATTGATCAATAAATATGCACTAGTGCCAGTCTCAATTATGTTATGTAAGAATAAATATTTACAAAATCATTTAGAAAGAAATATCAGATGGTCTGAAAACTGTTACAAAAATAATAAATAATGTGCCTTAGTAATGACGCTTCTACATCCGTTAAGATGTACAGATACATGAAGGTAAATGTTTCAGTTTGACTTGCTATGAGGTGTTCACATTTTGATTAAGAGATGAATGAAATCTATAGCTACTAAGACCTTCAGATGAAATAGAAGGTCCAGATCAAGCTCATAATAAAACAAACTTCAACTCTGTGTGTGTGTTTGTGTGTGTGCGTGTATGCATGGGTGCTTGAGTGGGCATGCATGCGCACGTGTGCAGCCCACCTGACTATTTTTCAGAGATTATATCTACAACCCGTACACAATAAAAAATCTCGCTGCACTTTAATGACCTTGCTGACTTCAGAGGGGGAAATCCCTACAGATGTTGAAGAGACATGGAGGGAACACACTCATGGCCATCTACAGTGGTCATAGTAAATCCTTTCCTCAGGATATCTGCAGCAACCTGTCACTATAAATAAGTTAGTTAGCCCAGTCTCAAAAGCAACAACTGTGCTACTTAGCCCAATTCTTTTGCATTGTTTGAGTGCCAATCCAGGGTTTTAGCACTGCAACCTGAACATAAATAAACATATGTTGCTATGCAATGTTACGTAAATGTCTAAACATTTCCTCAATTTTTGCACTTTTGCTCTGGCAATATGACGCAGGCCCACAAAGCACAGACGAGGACAAAGTTTTTCAGTCCAAGCAGTGGCAAGCAATAAGAAAGGGTTAAAGTAGTTGTTAAACCCTAAATTCCCACAGTAACAAAAAACCAGCCTAGTGAATGAAATGAGGTGGACAAAGTGAGGAAACCAGACTAAGCATTCACATCAACTATCAATGAAAATAAATTTCCTCTTTGCTCTTGTGAAGATAGCCCAGACCACCGGGACACCGTACCAAAGGGCAAGGGGGTCGGAGACGGGATGGGTGGGTTAATCCCCCAAATATTTTAATTGCTTCACCAATATGACAAAACTATTATTTCTTAGAACCATATATCTGTATAATCACCCAGGATGATGTAGAAGTTCCTCAGATAGCCAGATCTAAGCAGACCCCATAAGTTATCAAACTGAGTGACCACTGTCCACCCCTCTCCCCAAAACTGGTCTCTCGGCAGGAATGCTGCTCTAGGTTGACAGGTTATGGTCCAACTTGGGTATTTTAGAAGTCTGAAGGAATAACAGCTGGAATCCAGGAAATGTGACAATTATTAAGACCATTTCAATAGTGCTTGGGTCAGTGGATGTTGTATAACAGTGTCTCCCGTACTCAAGAGAGGGCACTGACTGCGGCCACTGGGGCGGCCACCTTCGTCACTGTCAACACTGATATGCCTTGAAAAAGAATGCAAAACAATTTTGCTGGTGATTTTCATGCAGATTGCAACCAAGGGTCAATTTTCTTTCAGACTGAGAACAGATTAAGTCAGGTTCAGCTTACAACTTTGATCTCCAAGGCAGACAAATTTCTTTGTACTTAAAGCGTCCAGCCACCAATAACCATTAGTCCTATTGTGTTTCAATAAATACTCTTCAATTAAAGTAACAACAGCGTTGTATTGTTCCCATAGGTTATGTTTCAGTTTCATTCAGAGATAGTCATCATTGCTTCATCGGCAGTCCCAATGTCCCCGTGGCCTGGGATGACCACTGTCCCCTCTTGATGACCACCCTCTATCCCCACCGCTGCCTCATCCCCGCTGACCAGATCACCAGTTACCATAGCAACAGCTCCGTGGTCTGCAGCTTCCTGGTTGACTGCCATGTGGGCCTGGACCAGTTGTTCTTCTGTCAGCTGAATCTCTCCCTCTGAAACCACAAACAATAGTCATTATACAGCTACATTTACTATATACTTCAAAGTATTATAGCGTGTAATTGTCTTTCCAATAAAAATAAGATAAATATGTTTTAACATTTGCCCCATAAATGGACTGTTTTTTTCCAGGAAAGGAAAAAATATGTATAAGCAAAGATACAACATACTTCTTTATTTATTAGTCATCAAAAAAACACCATGTTTTTATCCCAAAACAAGAAACCACAATCCCACGACAGAGTACATTCCTGGCCACTTCAAGGTTGCATGTTCACAGGATTAGATTCATACAAAGAGGTCCGATATGCTTTGAAAGAAAATATTATCATACACATTCCAAGTACACATTTATTTTTCTAGGTGAGTCCTATTGATTATCAACTGATGAGGTAGTGATAACCAAAATAATCCCAAGTTACTGACTCAATCATCTTTACAAACAAAGATTTTTTTCTGTTTACAAGAACTATTAGGAATCCAATCAAACTTGATGGTGCATAGATTTGAACAAAAAACAAACAAACAAAAGTAACAACAAAAATAAGAAATAAAAAGAGAAAATTGATAAATACAACTTGTATACCTTTAAAAAATTAAATACATATTTATATTTGTTCCTCTCAAAAGAAAATGTGAATAGTACAATAAAAACCAAACATCATTATATATTGAAAATGCGAGCACTACGATGCCCCCCCCCCCAAATAATAATAATAATAATAAAAATAAAATAAAAAATGAAAAAATTATTTCCATGAATAAATGCACAGCCTATAAGCAAGCATGCTAATTACGTCTATAATCATCGCTCTTTAAACCAGTTGATGGCCTTTCAGTGTTTATTAAGGAGAGAAAAGGTAGAGGAACATTCCTCCGCCAGTCCCCGAGGGCAGTCCCCAGGCCAGTGGGAAGACTTTGTAGCCTGGCCTGGAGGGGTCTACATTCCTGTCTTAGGATTCCCATGCCCTTACTGACAAAACTTGGAGCTTACCAGTGGATGAGGTCACGGGGTTGATTGCAATTACTTCTTTTAGCAAGCCATAAGAGGGTGTAAAAAAGACTGTTGACAAGTTCTGTTTCAGTAGGTAACGGATGATGATAGATTGTCGCTTGCACTACCTGTCTACAGAAGATGGCTAGGCTAGCAGGGACAATATGCACACTACTCACTAGTTCATGGGAACCTGACTGTATTGAGACCACAGTTGGGGAATATTTGCATCTCTGATGTCATGACTCTGAGATGATTTTCATATCATTAACTTTGCGGTAATCATGATTAGCCTTTCTTCTTTGCCTCATTTTGACAAAATTTTATGCTCAAATTGATTAATATGTCTTTTTACAACATCTCTGTTATAGATGATAGTAATATGTATATACAGGAGTATTGCTGCTTTGAGCATATATTTTCTACACTTAAAATCAAATAAACTGTAAATGGCATTATATCCTGGCCAGTTTGTAATCTTAAATATTTATTTTTTCTTTATGGTTTCAGAGAATTTATTATGAAATGTATGAGCAAAATGAATAATAACATATCAGACTTAAGTGTTGATTATTTATACTAAATTCAGCAAGGAAACCTCCTCCTGTTGAATGTTTAAATGCATCCCTTCCAGTCTCTATAAAATGTGCAAACATTACAGACTGAGGTACAGGCTTCTAAAACTTCCTGAGTAAAAATGAGTCATGTAATCTTTAAAAAAAATTCCATGTGTATGATTTATTTCTAGTTAACCTGACACGACCTTCATCATGCCACTGAGCACGTCTGGGACCACATATTCTCATGTGGGTGCATGTGTGCGTGCAAATGTACGTTTATCTGCGTATGCGTGCACAGGGTCTCATTGTACTGAAAATGTACCAGTTTCACATCCATAGCATACTCCCTGCTATAAATACCATGTGTGCACCGACTGTCATGTATCTGATATTCCCAGGTTCACAAGCTTCATGGTATGTTGTGATTTATAACAAACTATTAACAGAACAAATGTCTACAAAGCTGGCTACAAAGGCCTTTCAGTGGTGAGGTAGTGCTGCAGTTTCACAGCCAGTCTGTGTGTGTATTGGTAGTGAGCCTGCCTTGCTGTGAAACTGAACAGGCAAACAGACAGAAAGTAACAGAACTTAGAGCTCCTGATATTGTTTCTAATTACTTATCAAATCAACATGCAGTGTTAGACCGAGACCCACCAAGACAAAGTTGCATATCTGTAAACAAAAGTTAATAAATTGGATGGTCTTTTCCAGATGCAAGGCATGCCAACCCATGCTCCTAAGGCTAAGGGAAAACAAATGGGCATTAGGAGGCAAGGAGCAACAAGTGCTTGAGATATAGGAACAAACTGGTGATTCACTGCCAAAATAAAACAGTAAATAGTCCGCTTCTTTTTAAGGTTTGTTTGTTATTCCGGTAATACCATAATCAGTGTATAAGTTCTCCCCGGGGCTGGCAGGGAGGATAAGACACTAAGGTGCTGTACGACAGGCAAACAACACAGCAAGCGGCCAGGGGAGTTCCCATGGGATAAAAATGTACACTTACCACCTCAAAAATGATGTATTAGAGAAAAAAACTTACCAACTGGAATTTTTTATACTTAATAGTACTGCTTTGGTATGTTTTTAATGTAATTAAAAAAAATTTTAAGAGTATAATATGAAAAAATTAGTAAACAGATAATTATTTTTAACTTCTCGAAAAAAAAAACTTCATACCTTTAGAGGTAAGGGAAAAGTTCACATGCTAACTCTCCTCACATCAATTGAAGCTGACTTATCCAAACATTCCAAATAAATTCTCAATAATGGCAACACTGCAACTTATCAACAGAACAATACCCAGCTATCCTAACGCAATACAAACCAGTAAACAAACAATTAGCATGACCAAATAGTCAAATAAACAGGTAAACAATAGGATTAAAGGGGGTGCGCTGTTTTCAAATTTGATTATTTAATTTTCTGAGGTGAATGGTACAAAAATAAATAGTACCCCCTGTTTTGATGGCAGAAATGTGTGATTTCACTTGTACAGCATACCAGGTGTGTCGTTATACCTGTATCTGTCCACTGAACCAATGTTTCACCCTACAAGGAATCTTTTGAAAATAATCATTTTCACTCAGTTTTCAAGACTTCTAACTAAGTAGTACAGAACAGACAGAATTTATTGCTCCATTTCTTGGAACAGCAAGTTAAATGCCCTGAGAGAAGGAAGCCTTTGTATTTATAATATATAACAGTTATGATTATTTGTCCTACTTGGAAGTCTGTAATTAAATGCTATAAAGTAAACAGGAAAAGAAAATAAATCCACAGAAAATTGGTAATATAATATTGCAGAACATAATGAGATAATCAATACCACAAAATTAGTTTCATAAACAGGCAGGCAAAGATCATTCATACAAACTCTAATAAAAATTAAATAAATATTTACCTATCATATCTATCATTTTACCAGTAAAAACAAAATTAACATTCCTATTACTTCCCGACAGAGAAGCAAGCGGCCTGTTTATCATATGAAAATAAGCCCCGCCCCCTGCAACAAAAACATAAACATGAACACGTGTGTCCTCCCACGTGCACCCTGCGCTGTGTTAACTGATGACACTGTTATCTCAGACTCTTGGTATGCAGGGGGTGGGGCCTACCTGACTCCCAGCCACAGGTAGATCACTTGACCCAGAAAGATGACAAACAGATAATGACAGTCAGGGCCATGAGAAAACCAGGCAAACCTTCAACCCTGCATTCTCCCCGTGTACTCGTGATCTCACCCATTAAAATACATATTCCTGTCAGATATAAACAAGTCAGCTTTTGCCACATGACCAGTTGTGGCTACCTACCTCTGCCTGGACAGTCACATGCTAAGCACTGATTTAAATCTGGGAAAGCATGCAATTATCAGTTTATCCACCTCTTGACTTAAGACTTCTGCTTCTTACCCAAGTAAGCAATGAACACAAATATTTTCATACATATGCACAGTAAATTGAGAATTTTATTTTTTCAAATAAGCAGGGCAGAATACATGCACAAGGAAATGAGAGATCCCACATCAAAGCACTTGTTAATTGGAGCTGAGCCTAGTATTGCTGCAGTTGCGCAAGGCTATTTTGTCATGTTGAGTGTACATCTTTCCGTCTTTTGGCCCCGAGTGTGTCCTGCATCACTGACACAGACATCCCACTCACTGGGTTTTTATCGTAACCATCACATACCAGGCATAATGATGGGTGGAGCATGACAGTATCTTATCTTCCCGCCACCCTGCCCTTCCACTGGACACATGTACCAACTACTGGAGAAATATTCAATGATAATAATTAACCTTGTTATAACTAGATTTCACTTCCACCGATGATGGTGTTCCTTTTATTTTGACATTGTTTTTATTAAATCATGATCACATGTCTGTTCTCCTTGAGGCCTCTCACCAACACTCTTACTGCTTGTATATCATATTTTTACTCTGTATGACACCATGACCTTCAAACTGCTAACCACAAAAACATGACATCCTTTTGAAAGGGAAGAAGAGGATGAAATGACATTTACATTTGATATCAAAATGTAACACGACAATAAACAAAATAAAATAATTGGCTTTAAAACCAGGAACATTGCAATATTCTCGCACGTGAATCCTTGTCATCCTATATAAATATAATCAGATAAAACTGATACAATTCTTTAAAAGATAGCCACACTGTTAGCTATAAACATAGTATCACCATGGCACCCCTTGATAAACTTTCTGCATATCAAAGTGAAATTATTCCAGACTTGGTCTCCCTAAGTATTATGGATACCAATTCTGGAATAATTTACTTGTCATAAACATTATTAATGGTTGTCTGCAACAGAATACCTGGCAGACTTATCTAAGTATGCCAAATCCCTTTTAAAGTACATTTAAATTGACCCAGACAATAACATTGAACCAAAGATGTCCTAACATCCCTTC